AAGGCAGTATTTTTCAATATTTAAAGCTGTCCAGAAATGAAATTGATTGCCTTGGAAGATAGTTGGTTTACCGTTAAGTGGAATGACTTGGAAGAGGTTGAACAACCACTTGCAAATATGTGGCCGGGATTTAAGCATTCAGTAGGCAGATGTTTAGATGACTCTGGAGTTTCTTTCATTCTGAGAATGTTTTGGTTCTATACTCAGTCCTCTTTAGTTACCACAGCAGTTGCAAAAACATTTTCATTTCTTGTCTTTGCATAAAAATTGTGTTATGGTTACTGATGGCGATTCAGCTTTTACCAAAAGTGAAATTCAACCTCAGAGGATAAAAAATGTTGGCATTCTCACATAAATCAAAAGAATGTGGGATTAGAGATCCGAGGTGGCCGTTTAGGAACAGCTCGGAGTTGCAGCTCCCAGAGAAAGCGCAGAGGGTGAGTGGAGGCCGTATTTTTGTTGCCCACGGACCAGGAGATTCCCAGGCGGAGGTGCCCCATGGGTCACCAGTGCAGCTGTTGTGGCCCGGCAGTTCTTTTGGTCAGCGCGGCTGCTTTGTCGGCGCCCTGGCTGGCAGCTCTCTGTACAAAATACACTGGTCTGGGTGCCCCTTTAGCTGGCGATTGGAGACCCGGGAAGTTACCCATTCACCTGATTAAAGAGGGGACTGAACAGGGAGCCAGGTCAGGAGATTCTTGGGCAAAAAAAAAAAAAGCACCATGAATCTCAGTGCCACTGTTTAAACCTGTGCAGTGAGTTACCGCACGGGAATCAAACAGATCTTGATGCCGTTTCAACAGGCGACGGGTTTAGAGTCGACTATTCAACTAAAAAAAGAAAAAAAAGGCTCGGAGGCAGAGAGCCAGGTGATCAGGCTCAGTCCCACCCCCACAAAAGAACAGCAATCAGGAACTCTCTGGATTGAGAGTTTCACAGCAAGCGCAGCTGAACCCGGGACGGTCCAGCTCTGTCGGGGAGGGGCGTCTGCCATCCAAGGCACTCCACCACTACAAACGCCATTGCTGAGGCAGCCTCCCATTGCCAAGGCAACCCACCATTGCTGAGGCTGCCTGTCCTTGCCAAGAAAACCCGCTGTTGCCAAGGCAACCTGCCATTACAGAGAGAGTCCACCAATACACAGGTGGGCCACAATTGCTGAGGCAGTTCTAACTACACCTATATAAACAAGACTGCAGGGTAGTTCACAGGGCAGCTGGGTGGAGCCAACAGCAGCTCAGCAAAGCCTCTGCAGGCAGACTGAACAGGCTGCCTCCTTGCTGGGCAGGGCAGCCCTGAAAAAAAAAAAAAAAAAAAGCAGCAGCACAACGGAAACTCATAAATAAAGCCCTAACTCCCTGGGACAGAGCACGTGGGAACAAAAAGTGGTTTATGAGATCTGCTGCAGCAGACCTAAATGTACCTGCTCAGCAGCTCTGAATGAACAACGGAGCTCACAGCTCAACACTTGAGCCCCTATAAAGGACAGACTGTCTTCTCAAGCACCTCCCTGACCCCTGTATATCCAAAGAGTCACCTCATAAAGGAGAGATCAGACTGACACTTGGCGGGTATCCTTCTGGGACAAAGATAGCAGAAGAAGAAACTGGTAGCAACCCTTAGTGTTCTACAGCTGCTGCAGGCGATCCCCAGGCAAGCAGGGCCTAGAGTGGACCTCAGCAGTCCTATAGCAGAGGGACCAGACTGTTAGAAGGAAAACTAAGAAACAGAAATAACTTCATCATCAACAAACAGAATGTCCACTCAGAGACCCAATCTGAAAATCAGCAATCTGAAAGTCAGCAACTACAAAGACAACAGGAAGATAAATCCATAAAGATGGGAAGAAATCAGCGCAAACAGGATAAAAACACCTGAAACCACAACACCTCTCCTCCTATAAGGGATCACAACTCCTCACCAGCAAGGGAACAAGGTTGGATGGAGAATGGATGGAGAATGAGTGTGATGAAATGACAGAATCAGACTTCAGAAGGTGGGTAGTAAGAAACTTCTGTGAACTAAAAGAACATGTTCTAACCCAATGCAAAGAAACTAAGAACCTTGAAAAAAGATTTGACGAAATGCTAACAAGAATGGACAAATTAGAAAGGAATATAAGTGAATTGATGGAGTTGAAAAACACAACACGAGAACTTCGCGAAGCATGCACAAGTATCAACAGCCGAATTGACCAAGCAGAAGAAAGGATATCAGAGGTCAAAGATCAACTCAATGAAATAAAACGAGAAGGCCTGATTAGAGAAAAAAGGGGAGAAAGGAATGAACAAAGAATCCAACAAATAGACTTTAAAGCAACAAAGATGAAAAGAGACAAAGAGCTACATTACATAACGGTAAAAGGATCAATGCAACAAGAAGAGCTAACCATCCTAAATATATACGCACCCAATACAGGAGCACCCAGATACATAAGGCAAGTTCTTAATGACTTACAAAGAGACTTAGACTCCCACACAACTATAGTGGGATACTTTAACACCCCGTTATCAATATTAGACAATTCAACCAGACAGAAAATTAACAAGGATATCCAGGACTTGAACTCAGACCTGGACCAAGCAAACCTAATAGACATTTACAGAACTCTGCACCCCAAATCCACAGAATATACATTCTTCTCAACACCACATCACACCTACTCTAAAATTGACCACATAATTGGGAGTAAATTGCTCGTCAGCAAATGCAGAAAAATTGGGAATCATAACAAACAGCCTCTCAGACCACAGTGCAATCAAGTTAGAACTCAGAATTCAAAAACTAACTCAGAACTGCACAGCTTCATGGAAACTGAACAACTTGCTTTTGAATGTTGACTGGATAAACAATGAAATGAAGGCAGAAATAAAGATGTTCTTTGAAACCAATGAGAATGAAGAAACAACATACCAGAATCTCTGGGACACATTTAAAGGAGTCTCTAGAGGAAAGTATATAGCAATAAGTGTCCACATGAGAAGAAAGTAGAGATATCTAAAATTGACACCCTATCATCAAAATTGAAAGAGCTAGAGGAGCAAGATCAAAAAAACTCAAAACCTAGCAGAAGACAAGAAATAGCTAAGATCAGAGCAGAACTGAAGGAGATAGAGACACAAAAAACCCTTCAAAAAATCAATAAATCCAGGAGCTGGTTTTTTGAAAAGATCAACAAAATAGACCACTAGCCAGATTAATAAAAAAGAAAAGAGAGAATAACCAAATTGATGCAATAAAAAACGATAAAGGGGATATCACCACAGATTCCACAGAAATTCAAACCATCATCAGAGATTATTACAAACAACTCTATGCACATAAACTAGTAAACCTGGAAGAAATGGATAAATTCCTGGACACTTGCCTCCTCCCAAGCCTAAACCAGGAAGAAGCCGAAACCCTGAACAGACCCATAACAAGGTCTGAAGTTGAGGCAGCAATCAAGAGCCTACCACCCAAAAAAAGCCCAGGTCCAGATAGGTTCACAGCTCAATTCTACCAGACATACAAAGAGGAGCTGGTACCATTCCTTCTGAAACTATTCCAAATAATACAAAAAGAGGGAATCCTTCCCAAATCATTTTATGAGACCAACATCATCCTGATACCAACCTGGCAGAGACTCAACAAGAAAAGAAATCTTCAGGCCAATATCCATGATAAACATAGATGCAAAAATCTTCAATAAAATACTGGCAAGCGGATTGCAACAGCACATCAAAAAGCTTATCCACCATGATCAAGTAGGCTTCATCCCGGGAATGCAAGGCTGGTTCAACATACGCAAGTCTATAAACGTAATTCACCATATAAACAGAACCAAAGACAAAAACCATATGATTATCTCAATTGATGCAGAGAAGGCCTTTGACAAAATTCAACAGCTCTTTATTCTAAAAACCCTCAATAAACTAGGTATTGACGGAACATATCTCAAAATTATAAAAGCTATTTACGACAAACCAACAGCCAATATCATACTGAATGCGCAAAAACTGGAAGCATTCCCCTTGAAATGTGGCACCAGACAAGGATGCCCTCTCTCACCACCCCTATTCAATATAGTACTGGAAGTTCTAGCCAGAGCAATCAGGCAAGAAAAAGAAATAAAGGGTATTCAAATAGGAAAGGAGAAAGTCAAATTGTCTCTATTTGCAGATGACATGATTGTATCTAGAAGACCCCATCGTCTCGGCCCAAAATCTCCTCAAACTGATAAGCAACTTCAGCAAAGTCTCAGGATACAAAATCAGTGTGCAAAAATCACATGCATTCCTATGCACCAATAACAGACTTAAAGAGAGCCAAATCAAGAACAAACTTCCATTCACAATTGCCACAAAGAGAACAAAATACCTAGGAATACAACTAACAAGGAAGGTAAAGGACTTCTTCAAGGAGAACTACAAGCCACTGCTCAACGAAATAAGAGAGGACACAAACAGATAAAGAAACATTCCATGTTCATGGTTAGGAACAATCAATATCGTGAAAATGGCCATACTGCCCAAAGTAATTTACACATTCAATGCTATCCCCATCAAGCTACCAATGACCTTCTTCACAGAACTGGAAAAAAACACCTTAAACTTCATATGGAACCAAAAGAGAGCCAGCATAGCCAGGTCCATTCTAAGCAAAAAGAACAAAGCGGGAAGCATCACACTACCGGACTTCAAACTATACTACAGGGCTACACTAATCAAAACAGTATGGTACTGGTACCAAAACAGAGATGTAGACCAAAGGAGCAGAACAGAGGCCTCGGAGGCAAAGCAACATATCTACAACCATCTGATCTTTGACAAACCAGACAAAAACAAGCAATGGGGAAAGGATTCCTTGTTTAATAAATGGTGTTGGGAAAACTGGCTAGCCATGTGCAGAAAGCAGAAACTGGACCCCTTCCTGACACCTTACACTAAAATTAACTCCAGATGGATTCAAGACTTAAACATAAGACCTAACACCATAAAATGTCTAGAAGAATATCTAGAATATTTTTTTTTAAATAAAAGCATTTATTGAATAAATATAAAACAAAATATTTAAAAAGATGAAAAACCACACCAAAGGTCATCCAAAATGCCTTTTTATAAATGAGATAATGCTACCTGTTTTACAATATGAGTTTAAGCCTTCAGTGGTGTTCACTTCAAGTGTGATTCGGCTCCTGGTGGTGTCAGAAGTTAACATGATTGTGGATATCATTGATTTGCTTCACCATTTCCTTTATGTGTTCACCCTCTTCCTTCAGGATGGACTGAATGCACTTTCGCTGGTAGGCACTGAGAGTAATGGTGGGTTTTTGAAGACTCAACACCTTCTCCATCTTTCGCTGTTGATAGTCTTTTTTCATAGTGACCTGTTTTATGGCGTTGCCCAAATGCTGAAGTTGATCAGGTATTAGCTGTAGTTCTTTCTTCATGTCTCGCTCACTATCAGAGAGAACTGGGAGCTGAGAGTGAAAACTGTGAAGTACTTTTTTCATCCTGTTCATGATATCCTCTTGTTTTTCCTTGGCTTCCTCATATTTGTCAGCTAAACGCTCAGCCATTTCCCGCAGACTTTTCCTCTCCTCTCGACATAGGCGTAGGCAAGGACTTCATGACCAAAACACCAAAAGCATTGGCAACAAAAGCCAAAATAGACAAATGGGACCTGATCAAACTCCACAGCTTCTGCACAGCAAACGAAACAGTCATTAGAGTGAATCGGCAACCAACAGAATGGGAAAAAGTTTTTGCAGTTTACCCATCTGACAAAGGGCTGATATCCAGAATTTACAAAGAACTAAAACAGATTTACAAGAAAAAAACTAACAAGCCCATTCAAAAGTAGGCAAAGGAGATGAACAGACACTTTACAAAGGAAGACATACGTGAGGCCAAGAAGCATATGAAAAAATGCTCATCATTACTGGTCATCAGAGAAATGCAAATCAAAACTACATTGAGATACCATCTCACGCCAGTTAGAATGGCGATCATTAAAAAATCTGGAGACAACAGATGCTGGAGAGGATTTGGAGAAATAGGAACACTTTTACACCGTTGGTGGGAGTGTAAATTAGTTCAACCATTGCGGAAGACAGTGTGGCGATTCCTCCAGGACCTAGAAATAGAAATTCCATTTGACCCAGCAATCCCATTACTGGGTATATATCCAAAAGATTATAAATCGTTCTATCATAAGGACACGTGCACACGAATGTTCATTGCAGCACTGTTTACAATAGCAAAGACCTGGAACCAACCCAAATGCCCATCGACGATAGATTGGAGAGGGAAAATATGGCACATATACACCATGGAATATTATGCAGCCATCAAAAATGATGAGTTTGTGTCCTTTGTAGGTACATTGATGAACCTGGAAACCATCATTCTCAGCAAACTGACAGAAGAACAGAAGATCAAACACCGCATGTTCTCACTCATAGGCAGGTGTTGAACTGTGAGAGCACATGGACACAGGGAGGAGAGCACTACACACTTCGGTCTGTTGGAGGGAAATAGGGGAGGGTCAGTGTGGGGTGGGGAGTTGGGGAGAGATAGCATGGGGAGAAATGCCAGATATAGGTGATGGGGAGGAAGGCAGCAAATCACACTGCCACGTGTGTACCTATGCAACAATCTTGCATGTTCTTCACATGTACCCCCAAACCTAAAATGAAATAGAATAAATTAAAAAATATATATATACAAAAATTAGCTGTGTGTGGCGGCGGTGCCTGCAATCCCAGCTACTTGGGAGACTGAAGCCTGGGCTGGAGTGCAGTGGCACAAATCTTGGCTTACTGCAACCTCTGCCTCCTGGGTTCACGCGATTCTCCTGCCTCAAACTCCCAAGTAGCTGGGATTATAGGTGCACACCACCACACCTGGCTAATTTTTTGTATTTTTAGTAGAGATTGGGTTTCATTATGTTGGCCAGATTGGTCTTGAACTCCTAATCTCGTGATCCACCTGTCTCATCCTCCCAAAGTGCTGGAATTACAGGCGTGAACCACCGCGCCTGGGCCTTTTTTCTTAATACTACATGTTAAAGGTCATTCCACTTTGGGATATACAAAGTTGTCTTATTTTAATAAAGGTTGCCTAGTATTAGATTATAAAAATAAAAAAAAAAGAATGTGAGAAGATTCTCAGGTTAAATCTGTAAGACAGATGTTTCTTCTGAATCTGAAAGAAATGTTTTTGAACACACACTTTTGCTGTTTATATTTTCTATTAAGAAAAAAAAAATCCACTAAGTGGATACAGGTTTCTATTATAACATAGTTATTCCTAGAAAAACCTATGAACTAACTGGGTACCCTTTAGTTTAACTTAGCAATACCTATGTCATAGTATTTATTTGCTTGTCTTAATTTAAACTTTTGATCTTTCCTAGAAAAAATTTCTTATGGAAGGCAAAATCAGGGATTTTCTTCAGTCTTCATCAGTAAGCTTTGCTGTATTCTGTGGCCTGAACTTGAATTCTCAGTCAGGCTATATATAGAGTGAAGAGGCAAAAGAGTATTGATAGATACCATAAATATTTTACTGTAGCGTAAAAAGGCAACTAAAACTACAGGTACTTATGTTAGTGATCAGTTGTCCCAATATTCAACAGTAAAATTAGGATGTATAGGATTATAAGAGGAGATGAAAGTGGCTAAATACATTAAATAAAATTTCTGCTCTTTCACTCTCTGACCCAGTTATTTCAAGTAAAATTGGGGTAAATTTTATTATTTAGAAGCATATTAACTTTTTGAATAAAATGACTTACAGTTGATTAAACTACAATATTTGTGTGGTACCTCTGCTATCTTTAAAAAGTAAAAATCTGGAACTAGAGAGAATCTAGAATGTTGATAGACAGTTGAAATTTAAATTTACATAAGATGTTTAAGTTTGTTTTACTTAGAGCAGGTTCCAGGAATGTATTGTTTTGATCCCTTCTCCTGGGTGCTGTCTTAGCTATTGGTGGGTAATTAGATTATCAGTTTATTGCAAAATATTTTTATGACACTAATTTTTAAGTCTGTGGAAAAAGGTGAGATAAGCATAATATTTTCCATATTTTCCATGTGAGTTATACAGAAGAGAAACATAAAATACATAATTTAAATCAATTTTACCTGTTTTAATTTTTTCAAATGAGGCTAATAGATATTTAAAATGATATAACTGGTTCACATTATCCTTTGTTGCACAGCAGATGTGTAAATGTGTCAGTTTTTATGCATTCACTAGTAGCCACCACAGATTTCCTTTGCTCAGTGTTTGAATGATAAATCTTCTGTGTTTATATGTTTAACTATATCTTTAAATATAAAGTGAATTTATTTTAGACAAGGATACCTGCATATGGTATGCTCCTTCAGTATGTAGTTTTATATCTTCTTTTGTCTCAGTGAAGATTTTTGAATTATAATTTATTTATTTTTGAATTACAGTTTGTTTTTAATATTCTCTTGTTTTAGTTTTCTTCTTTGGTGATTCCTCTTACCTGTATGTTGGATCTTTATTGCCTAACTGCAATATTTATGACTTTCTTTTGGATCCTCTTCATTACTTTTTTTACTTAAAATTTTTTCCTTCTTGCTAAAGAAGGAAAAATTTTTCTTATACTATTATTTATTGCTATGTTTCATTTTGTTTAGTGTTTATTTCTGAAATTTTTTCTTTTATTTCTAATGTTTTCCTGATTCTGTCATTTTAATGCTGAATATTTCTTATTTTAAAATTTCTAATTTGGTTTTTCTACTTGTCCATGTCTTTAATTTTATATATGTTTTTCATCACATACATGTCTTTTAGCTAGTTCTGAATTCGTAGGTTACATTTTTAATCTGTTTTTTAATCTGAGCAAACTTTTCCAGGTGTGGTTTCATTGTAGAGCTATTATTCTTACTATTTTTTTGAATAATAGCATGAGATTTTTACCTTGATTCTTTCTGATTATTTTTATTTGGTATTCATTTTCCTTTACTTTTAGAAGGAAGTTCTATTCAAGATAACTTTTTTTTTTTTTTTTTTTTTAACTTCACACACATCCCTCTTCAGTTGTTTTCATGTAATGTTTAAAAACAAGGTGATGGCTGGGTGCAGTGACTCTCACCTGTAATTCCAGCACTTTGGGAGGCTGAGTCGGGTGGATCACCAGAGGTCAGGAGTTTGAGACCAGCCTGGCCGGCATGGCAAAACCTGGCCTCTACTAAAAATACAAAAATTAGCTGGGCATGGTGTCATGTGCCTATAGTCCCAGCTCCTTGGGAAGCTGAAGCTGGAGAATTGCTTGAACCCAGGAGGTGGAGGTTGCAGTGAGCTGAGATTGTGCCACTGCACTCCAGCCTGAGAGACAGAGTGAGACCCTTTTCTCAAAAAAAAAAAAAAAAAAAAAAAAAAGGCCATTTGCTTAGATATTCTTGTTCTGTTCCCTTCCCTTCTTGCACTTTTATCTGGACCATCTCCTTTTGTATTATCTCTGTTATACCTGTCCTGCTCAATTTTGAGTCAGTTCCCAGGGTTTTTCTTTTTCTCTGTTTGGTGCCCTGTCCTGGAAGAGAATCTTTGTGGTTAGATAGGAGAGTTCATAGGGGCTAGATCATCTCTCCCCATTCCAAGCCTATTGTGACCCATTCATACTTAATTGTTATTGGACTGTGTATTAGTCTGTTTTCACACTGCTGGTAAGGACATATGCAAGACTGGGTAATTTATAACAAAAAAGAGGTTTAATGGACTCACAGTTCCATGTTGCTGCAGAGGCCTCACAATCATGGCAGAAGGTGAAAGGCACATCTTACATGGTGGCGGACAAGAGAGAATGAAAGCTAAGTGAAAGGAGTTTTTCCCTTATAAAACCATCAAATCTTATAAAACCTACCCACTATTAAGAGAACATTAAGGGGAAAACTGCCCCCATGATTCAGTTATTTCCCACTGGGTAACATGAAATTTGGGTGGGGACACAGCCAAACCATATCATTCTGCCCTTGGTCCCTTCCAAATCTCATGTCCTCATATTTCAAAACCAATCATGCCTTCCCAATAGTCCCTCAAAGTCTTAACTCATTTCAGTTTTAACTCAAAAGTCCGCAGTGCAAAGTCTCATTCAGCACAAAGCCAATTCCGTCCATCTATGAGCCTGTAAAATCCAAAGCAAGTTAGTTAGTTCCTAGATATAATGGAAGTACAGGCATTGGGTAAATACAGACATTCCAAATGGAGAAATTGCTCAAAATGATGGGGCCATAGGCCCCATGCAAGTCTGAAATCCAGCAGGGCAGTCAAATCTTAAAGTTCAAAAATGATCTCCTTTTACTCCATGTCTCACATGCAGGCCACGCTGATGCAAGAGGTGGGTTCCTGTGGCCTTGGGCAGCTTTGCCCCTATGGCTTTGCAGGGTATAGCCTTCCTCCTGACTGATTTCAAGGGCTGGTGTTGAGTGCCTGTGGCTTTTCCAGGTGCGTGGTACAAGCTGTTGGTGGATCTACCATTCTGGGGTCTGGAGGATGGTGGCCCTCTTCTTATAGCTCCACTAGGCAGTACCCCAGTGGGGACTCCGTGTAGGGTCTTGCATGGCACATTTCC